ATCATGTATTTAATTTTTAGGTTGTTTACTTAAAATTTTAAGAAAAAAATCATGAAAAATATTATGAGAAGAAACTTAAAATTGAGAAAATTTTGTATAATAATAATTTTCATTAATTAAGGAAAGATTGCTTTTATTTAGGGATAGTAATGAAACACTTTCAGCTTATATCTATTTTATAAACTTCTGTTCCTGGATGCTTCTTGAAATCAGCTTTTTAAAATGTTTTCCTTGAGACCTGCACTGTGCAGTAGGTTAATCCTCTGCCTGAAGCTCCGGCATCCCATATGGGAGCTGGTTCTAGTCCCAGCTGCTGCTCTTCCAATCGAGCTCTCTGGTGTGGCCTGGGAAAGCAGTAGAAAATGGCCCAAGTGCTTGGGCCCCTGCACCCATGGGGGAGACCTGTAAGAAGTTCCTGGCTCCTGGCTTTGGATTGGCTCAGCTCCAGCTGTTGTGGCCATTTGGGGAATGAACCAGCAGATGGAAGACCTTTATCTCTGTCTCTCCCTCTTATTGTCTGTAACTCTACCTCTCAAATAAATAAATAAAAATCTTTAAAAAAATAAAACATTTTCCTTCTCTTGGAAAGGTTTGCTTTTGTTTGATTTTTATATTTATACACTTTCAAATCTGAAGTGTATAAAATAATTTCACTAATTGAAAAAAGAATCCTGAGCCCAATTTTATGAAAGTGTTAATAAGTAAACTTAAGAGTGTACTGAAATTATTTTTATTCCACGACTGTAATTATGGCATACGCCAGGTGCTGGAGGCCTGAGACAGCATGATTTGGGGAATTCAGTCTGATACTGCTGGTGGTGGGCGGGTTATGAGACATGTCCTAGATAGGCGAGTATTTTCTCTACAGACTATTACTTGTTCCCGACTGTCATCTCAGTTCTGGGATTTGACCTTACCTTTGGCACACTTAGGAATTCATAGCAACCTTGCCAAAAGTACTCTCTGTACTTCAGTTTCCTCATGCATTCATGTAGCTGAGAACTGTGCTAGTGTCACCATCATAGAATCATCACGAGGTTTAAATGCGCTAACACGTGCAGCACACAGAGCAGGGCCTTCACGGGGGAAAGCCTGTGGCTTCTTCTCCTTTGACCTTTTGGCATACTATGAACTGCTTGCTCAGTTGACTGATTCTGTCTTACACAAGGAGATTTTTCCCCCTTGGAGTCAACCTTAACCCTTCCCAGTTGCATTCCTGGTCCCTTTCTTCCTGCTAGGTTTCCAACATGTAGCCCTCTGCATCCGCATCATGGGGTCTAATGTTCATTTGCCAACATTATGGGAGAACTTCAGGAAAATCCTCTCGTCTGGATGCTTGCTCTTTCTCTCTTTAAAAGGTTCCCTACTGTCTTAGTCCATTTGTGTTGCTATGACAGAATATCACAGACTAAGTAGTATCTAAAACAACAGAAATTTATTTCTCACCATTTTAAAAAGGTTTTAAAAAAGATTTTAAAAGGTTTATTTATTTAAAAGGCAGAGTAAGAGAGAGAGAGATAAAAAGAGAGAGAGACATATCTTGCACCTTCTGGTTCACTACCAACAGCTGGGGCTGGACCAAGCAGAAGGCAGGAGCTGGGAACTCTATCCAGGTCTTTCATGTAGGTGGCAGGAACTCAATACTTGAGCCCATCTGTTATTTCCTAGAAGCATTAGCAGGGAGCTGGATCAGAAGCAGAGTAACCCGGACTCAAACCAGAACTCTGGTACAGGATGTGGGTGTCTCAAGAGTGGTTTAATCCACTATGCCACAACCCCTGCCCCTGGATGCTTTTTAAAATAAACTTTTAAAAATGCTTTCCTTCTCTTGAAAGATAATGAGGTTAATGTACTGTAAAGATCCTTGTATTTCTTTCTAGAAAGTGACTATTGGCAACGAGGGTAAAAAAACATGTAAAAGTTGCAAATCCTTTGTTAAAAACCCTCTCTTTTATTTAGAAATCATATTTTCTTGATGCTTGGCTATTTATAATAAAAAAATAGAAAAAACACCTCTCCCTTTCACTGTCTCAAGTGAGTCTAAGAGCTTTGTGATTAGATGTTATATCTGCCCTATTTGAAAGGCAGAATGACAGAGAGAGAGAGAGAGAGAGAGACAGAGAGAGACAGAGGAAGACCTTCCCACCTGCTGCTTCATTCCTTAGATGGCCACAATGGCTGGGGCTGGACCAAGCTGAAGCCAGGAGCCAGGAGTTTCTTCCAGGTCTCCCATGTGGATGCAGAGGTCCAGGGGCTTGGGCTATCTTCTGCTGCCGTCCCAGGTACATTAATTAGCCGGGAGCTGGATCAGAAGTGGAATGGCAGGACATGAACCAGTGCCTATATGGGATACTGCTGTCTCAGGTTGCAGCTCAACCTGCTATACCACAATACTGGCCTCTATTATTGACTTTTTTTAAAAAAAGTTTTTATTTAATTTATTTGAGAATTAGAGTTACAGACAGTGAGAGGGAGAGACAGAGAGAAAGGTCTTCCGTGCGTTGATTCACTCTCCAAATGGCCACAACGGCCAGAGCTGCACTGATCTGAAGCCAGGAGCCAGGAGCCAGGAGCCAGGAGCTTCTTCCTGGTCTCCCACATGGGTGCAGGGCCCCAAGACTTGGGTCATCTTCTACTGCTTTCCCAGGCCATAGCAGAGAGCTGTACTGGAAGTGGAGCAGCCAGGATTAGAACCAGCGCCCATATTGGCATCTGGCACTGCAGACGGAGGATTAACCTACTGTGCCACAGCGCCGACCCTATTACTGACTTTTAATTTCATCCTTTGGGAGGTCTTTGAGTTATGGGGGCTTGCCCTCACAGATGGATTAATGCTGTTAAAAAAAAAAGGGTTTGTGGGAGTGAGTTCATTCTCTCTTGCTACCTTCACACATGTGAGGACATAACAAGAAGACCCACACCAGATGTTGGTGCCTTGGTCTTGAACTCCTTAGATCCCAGAATGATGAGAGGTAAATCTCTGTTTTTTTAGATTTACTCAGTCTGTGGTATTCTCTCACAGCAACACAAATGGACTAAGACAGTAGGGAATCAAAGCATAATTAAATACCCAGAGCAGTCTCTGTCTCAGTGTTTTTCAATATTTTGCTTATTATGATACTTTAAAAAGTTAAGTCGGGTCACAAAGGGAAGATAATTCCAATTTTACTTGATCCTGAAGAAGTTCGTTCCATCTTCCTTTTGAGTCCTTTTTGACCCTTTTTTATCCCTTCTGGTTCTGATAATCAACAGTTTGGTCTAAGTTTGGCCCAGGATTGTGAGAATGTAGCAGATAGGTAGCTAAGAAGTTTCTGGAGGGAAGCAGAATCACTGTTCTCTCTTCTTTCCCTACTCTAATCGGAGAGAAACATGTGGGTGCTATTTCCTGCCCCTCATAAACCTGTCTGGCAACAGACCTGGGGTGAATCTTGCCGTGACCACTTACTGCCAGTGTGGCCGTGCGGAAGACATTGCTCTGTGACCTTTTTCTGTGCATACTTTAATGAGGTTCATACTACCTACCTCATGGAGTTATTGGAAGGACTAAGTGAAGTACACATAAAGAACCTAGAACTCCATAGATTCAGCCCATGTTGGTTCATTTTCTTGTTCAACTCTTCCTGTAGTATGTAGTATAAGGGCAATTCCAAACATTCGTGGAATATGTTTTCTGTTATATGTGGAAGTTTATATATATATATATGTATTTATATAAAGACAAACAGAGAGAGTATAAGAAGTGTGTAGATATCATATTTTGGTGTATAGATAGTTATAAGTATTGTCTTCACTGAGTTATACCATCTACATAATAATATACCCTTCTTTTCTCACTATGTGATCATTGTCATGAATCTGTTAAAAGATTTTAATATTTAAAAATATTTAATAATATTTATAATATATTTAATAATATTATTTAAAATATTATTTTTAAAAAATAGTAAAGGGGCCAATGTTGTGGCTTAGTGGATTAAGCCCAGATGGCCATAATTTTTGATGATTGATTGATTGATTTCAAAGTCAGAGTTATAGAGGAAGAGACACAGAGAGAGATCTTCTATCCTCTGGTTTACTCCCCAGATGACTGCAATGGCCAGGGATGGCCAGGCGGACGCCAGGAGCCAGGAGCTTCTTCGGGGTCTCCCACATGGGTACAGCATCCCAAGTACTTGGGTCATCCCCTGCTGCTTTCCCAGGCCATTGCTAGGGAGTGGGATTGAATGTGGAGCAGCTGGGACACAAACCTGGCATGCATGTAGGATGCTGGCAATGCAGGTAGCAGCATTACCCACTAGATCACCACGCCACACTGGCCCTGTGATTCAGTTTTAAAAAGTTTTTGGGAAATAGAATAAGTTTATTTTTATGCAAAAAATTTTTTGAAATCCAAACTTAATGAGAGGTCTTCAAAAAGCTCAAGGAAAATGCGTACAATGGAAAAGCTGTGAACCTTTTGAAACACTTTGGTAAGATGAGGATGATAGTTGTGCCACCCTGTGGTTTTTATAAAACTAAAGAGGTTTACTATAAGTAAATTATATCGAATTGTCCCTGGCCCATAGTAATTATTTAATATGTGATCACCATTAGTGCATAAAATAATGTATGGGTGCTTCTTAGCTTATGATAGAATCATGACCTGATAAACCCATCATGAATGAAAATATTGTGAGTGGAAAAATTTACTTAATATACCCAACCTACTGAACTCAGAGCTCAGCGGCGTGGTATGCTGTAGTGTACTGATTGCTCACCCTCATGATAGCATGACTTACCGAGAGCTGCAGCTCGCTGCCACTGCCAGCATTCACGAGAGAGTAACTTACGGCCTATTGCTAGACAAAGAAAAGACAAAATTCTCTATTCAAAGTATGGTTTCTACTGACGGCATATGGATTTTACTCCATCAAGAAGTTAAAAAAATCTAAAGTCTAGCCATCATAAGTTGGGGACTGTGGTATTATGTTTTATTTGACCATCTTAATTCTGATGTTTAGGGTACACACTCTTGCACTGTGCTGCAGCCTGGGGCCGTTTGGAAACTTTGAAAGCCCTGGTGGAACTGGATGTCGATATAGAAGCTTTGAACTTCCGCGAAGAAAAAGCTCGAGATGTTGCAGCTCGGTATTCCCAGACGGAGTGTGTTGAATTCCTGGACTGGGCAGGTAAGGAAGCTCGCAAGGTGTCAGCAAACTGACTGATGTGGTGGATTGTTCTCCCCTGGGTAACAGACTTTGTCTTGATAGAGTGAAGAGGTAATTGATATTTTCACCTTCCATCGGGATGTTTGATTTGTAGCCACAACGATACTCACTATTGGCACTAACATGAAATCTGCCTTTCTTTTTTTATTTTGCTATTGGCTTAAAACATTTACTTTTCAAATGCCCACAACAGCCAGGGCAAGGTAGGGCTGAAGCCAGGAGACAGGAACTCAGTCTCCCTCAACACCCAAGAACAGGGCCCAGGTTACCACGTTCACTGGGGAGACTGACACTAAACTCTGTGTGGACGAAAGATACACCCCCAAGGAAACCCTTATTCATCTCAGAGCCACACATCTCTCCCTATGAAATGCAGCAGACCAGTCCACTATGTCACTCATAGACATAGCTGACAATGATTAAAAGAAATCACTCAGAGACTACACTCTTGGGCTCACCTAGAACCAAAGCCAAAGTAACAGGCCAAGTGATGTCCTGCATTTCAGCTAAACTGTAAACTCCTTTTTAATAAAACCTACTTCATAAATAAGATCATCAGATGTCCCATAATGGCCACAAAAAATCAAATATTTAGGAATAAATTTAACCAAAGGAGTGAAAGATCTCTACAATGAAAGTTATAAAATATTGATGAAAAAAATTAGCAAGGCCACCAAACAATGGAAAGATATTCCTTTCTCATGGATTAGAGGAATCAGTATCATTACAATGTCTATACTATTTAAGCAATCTACAGATTCAGTGCAATCCATATCAAAATATCAATGACATTTTTTGCAGAATTAGAAAAGACAATCTTAAAATTCATATGGAGGCACAAACGACCCAGAATAGCCGGAGATCCTGATAGAAAACAAACTAAACAAACAAGCAAACAAACAAAAAACAAGTAAGCAGGAGACATCAAAATACCTGACTTCAAGGCATACTACAAAGCTTTAATAATTAAAACAGCAGGATTCTGGCATAAAAACCTACACATAGGTCAGTGGAACAGAAGAAAGAGCCTAGAAATTAATTCATGTATATACAGCCAACTGATTAATTTATTTATTTGAAATATTTACTTATTTGAAAGAGCTATGGATAGAGAGGGTGATCTTCCATCTACCGGTTCACTCCTCAGATGGCTGCCATGGCCAGCTGAGTCAGGCTGAAGCCAGGAGCCAGGGGCTTCTTCCGGGTTTCCTGCATGGGTGGCAGAGGCTCAAACACTTAGGCTACCATCTGCTACTTTTCCCAGACCACGAACAGGGAGCTGGATTGGAAGTGGAGCAGCTGGGACATGAACTAGCACCCATATTGGATGCTGGTGTCGCAGATGGTAGCTTTACCTGCTAGGCCACAACACCAGCCCCAGCCAACTGATTTTTGACAGAAATGTTCACACCATACATTGGAGTAAGGATAATCTCTTCAACAAATGATCCTGAGATATGGATATATGTATCCATAACTCTCACCATATACAAAAATCAACTCAAGATGACTCAAAGACATAGAATCAAGACCTAAAACTATGAAGAAAATGTAGGGGACACACTCCAAGACATTGGTGTCGGGGATGACTTCTTAAGATAAGACTCCCAAAGCACAGGCAACAAAAGCAAACTAAGCGAGTGAGACACAGCAAAGGAAGTAATCAACAGAATGAAGAGACATCCAACAGAATGGGAAAAAAGTATTTGCAAGCTACCCATCGACAAAGGATTAATATCTGGAGTATATTAGCAACTTAAAAGACTCAACAGCAAAAACTAACCAATCCAGATAAGAAATGAACGAAGGATGTCAATAGACAGTTTATCAAAAGAAGAAATACAAATGGCCAACAAATATTTGAAAAATGCTCAACATCACTACTGTCAGGGAAATGCTAATCAAAACTACAAAGAGATATCGCCTCACCCCTGTCAGCATGGGTGAAATCCAAGAGACAAGAGTAACAAATGCTGGCGAGGATGTGGACAAAGGAGAACATTTATACACTGTTGGTGGGAATGTGAATTAGTGCAGCCACTGTGAAAAATAGTGTGGCGTTTCCTAGAAAACTAAAAATGGACTTGACATATAACCCAGCAATCCAGTATATACCCAAAAGATTGAACACGTTGTATCAAAGAGATCCCTGCATCATCATGTTTATAGCAGCTGTGTTCAGTGTCCATTATCAGATGAATGGATGAAGAAAATGTGGTATATTTACACAATGGAATATTATTCAGCTATAACAAAGAATGAAATTCTATCATTTGCACAAAATGTATGCAACTGGAGAGCATGATGTTGAATGAAATAAGCCAGACACAGAAAGGCAAATACTACATGTTCTCCCATATATGTGGGAGTTAAAATTTTAAAACAATTTAAAAAAAGAAAGAAATGCCTATATCAGTATTGCAGCAAATATAGTGTTGTCAGTCTTTGTTTTATGCTTTTGTCAACCCAGTGGTTAAGAATGTTGTATTACTATGTTTCTAATGATCTGTAATTACTTTAACATTTACTGTATATGGGTGAGATGGTCATCTTTCCTTTCAATTATTGTTTATAGCTCTTGGCTATATTTTCACTGAACTAGAGTATTGTTGATTTTTAGTTATTGACGTTTTTATTTGATGGAGCATTAAACCCTTGATTGTAATGTAAAATAAAAATATGTTGACTCAAATCTTAAAGAAAGAAGGGGGAGAAGAGAGTAGGAGGGAGAAAAGTAGGGAGGGAATATAATTAAATTCTTGAAATGTATCTATGAACTATATTGAATCTAATAAGCTAAAACTAATACAATGGAAATTTTTGTACTAATTTAATACTCCTCTGCTAATTTTTCTTTGGAAAATGCAGTAACCATTCTTCTTAAAATTGAAGTGTCTTTACCAGGGGATTCCAATTCAATCCCATCAAGGTGGCATGTACCAATGCCATCTCACTAGTCCAAGTGATCAATTTCAGTTCACAATTGATCATAATGATAGGACTAGAGTCAAAGGGATCACATTAACAAGACTAGTGTCTGAAAATACTAACCGATAGAATTAAAAAGGGAGAGAACGATCCAACATGGGAAGCGGGATACACAGCAGACTTACAGAATGGCAGATGTCCTAAACAGCACTCTGGCCTCAGAATCAGCCCTTAAGGCATTCGGATCCAGCTGAAGAGCCCATGAGAGTATTTCAGGCAAGGAAAGCCAAGACACTCTGGCAAAAAAAAAAAAAAAAAGAAAAAGAAAAAAACCTAAATGAAAGATCTCTGTGAGTGAGATCCCAGTGGAAAGAACAGGTCATCAAAGAAGGAGGTACCTTTCTCTGAAGGGAGGAGAGAACTTCCACTTTGACTATGACCTTGTCTAAATATGATCAGAGTCAGCGAACTCAAAAGGCATCCATAGCCTTGGCAACTCATGACAAGAGCCTAGGGTGATTACTGATGCCATAAACAAGAGTGTCAATTTGTTAAGTCAACAACAGGAGTCACTGTGCACTTACTACTCATGTGGGATCTGTCCTTAATGTGCTGTACATTGTGAATTAATGCTATAACTAGTACTCAAACAGTATTTTTCACTTTGTGTTTCTATGTGGGTACAAACTGTTGAAATCTTTACTTAATATATACTAAACTGATCTTCTGTATATAAGGAGAATTGAAAATGAATCTTGATGTGAATGGAAGGGGAGAGGGAGTGGGAAAGGGGAGGGTTGCGGGTGGGAGGGAAGTTATGGGGGGGGGAAGCCATTGTAATACATAAGCTGTACTTTGGAAATTTATATTCATTAAATAAAAGTTAAAAAAATTGAAGTGTCTTACCAACAGAAGCCCGAAATTTTAAAAATGTTGAATTGTAATTCTTCATTGACTATATTGAAAATAGGAAAATTTATACTTTTAAAAAATAATCTATTTCATAATATTTCCATGCTATTTTAGCCAATCTGAGATGGGAAACTAAAATTTTCCTGTGGCCATTAAATTTGCTCAGGAAAATAAGAAAAATCACGGATACTATTTGAATCAGAGGTTTATTGAAACACTAAACTACGCATGTGTTCTACAGACTGGTTAATGATTAGTGATCTAACACATTAAAAAGAGCAATGATCGTAATCTAAGACAGTAGAAAGAACAAAATCTTTAAACAGCAGTGATAGCACACAGTCTTTTCCCCAGGACTCTCGTTTAGATATGGGATCTTTTTAGTTGAACGGATATAACATTTCAACTCAGTTTTCTTTGGAAAATATCAGTAAAGATTGTGGCACAAAAATTACAAAGTCTCAAAAAAACCATCTCCACGCTTTGATGAGTGCTCTCAGTAGATTTCTCTTGGAATCTCCACATCTGACTGAGCTGTATTTGCATATGTGTCTGTTTAGTGTCCTACGGCTCCTCCTTCACTCTTCTTCTTCTTTAATTTGCGGTACTTAACTTTCTTAGAGGGCGAGCGCTGGGACACCTGGTTCAGGTACTTAGTCATCATTGATGTCGTAGCCACCAGTTTGCAGAGTATTTGGTCAATGTCATAAATGGATGGACTTTGTAGATCATTGCCACTTTTTCCCAAGGGGACTTGTTCTTTCATCTAGCAGGAAGGAAACAAATAATAATGGATTTTATCTTACTGTAGCTCAAATTGAATTTGTATTCTGAATACATATACTTAAGCTGAATTAGAACAGCTTACATTGATTACTTATACAAAAGGAAGGCTACTATGGAAGAGAGATTTAAGTGCAGGAGAAATACTCTTCTGTATATATCCCACATAAAATTAGTTGATCATTATTAGTGAACTTTAATTAGTGCTTTCTATGGTTAGAGCAATCTGCTGGGAGAAATGATTTGAATTTTGGCAAAATGTTTTCATTTACCGAGCAACCATAGTCATTTATTAATACTTACTTGTTCTGAAGTTCTATGAGGTTTTTTGGTTTGTTTTTTTCAAGATTGCCTCAAACTGTGGTGCCATCTATTGGCAAACTGGCAAATCAGTTCAAGAACTCTATTTCCCAAATAGTTATCGTAATGTTAGAAGTTAGTTTACAGTCTGTTTAAACAATAGCTTTCATCTCTAGACTTGGAATGAATTTAAGAGATCTCTTCCAGTCCTTCATTTTGTAGACGAGGCAGTTGAGAAAGTTCAAATGACTTACCCAAGGACACAGACTGATAGCTTCACTTCCTATGTATTTACTCATTGTGGCTTGCTACTTTTTTGGGTGTGTTTTGTAGCTAGATGATTTTAAGGACCTGCTAATTTAATATTTATTTGTCAAGCACTTAGTACTGGCAAGACACTCTATAGACACTGGGGATGAATGGGGAGAGGGAGAAGGCTACAAACAAGAACAAAGTTTCCCGCAAAGACATTGATAATCTTACGTTCTAAACACTGAGATTCTATAACTATTTCAATTTGCATCAATAATTCACCTTTTTTTTGTGTTTCTTCCATTTCATCCACAAGTAGTGGGCAGATAAAACCGACAGGATTAAAAAGAGAGTTTGTGCTAAGATAGAAGTGACGTGTAAGCAACTCTGAAATACGTCCATGTTAGCAAAGTTGCAGCATAGTTTGTTCAGCGGGAAGGGTAGACAGTGAGATGGAGAAGGCTTAACTTTCAGGTAATACACTTCTTCTGGAAAAATCTCCCATCCAACCTTTGTCCAGGTAGTCCCATCACAAATGCAGAAGGTCTCCCTACAGAAGCAGATAAACAACAAAGGAAGAATCAGGGCCAGTCTCTGATTACACATCTATTTTCATCAATTGGAGAAACAATCTACAGCTAAAAAATTGGTCAAAGAGCAGAAAAATGTCTGAGTATTAGGTAATATGGTTCATCAAAGTATTTCAGGTACTCTTGCAAGTCAGCAAAATATACCCAGTGAAATATACATGGATGACCACTGTAACATAGTGACATCATAATGAACCACATTGGAACTAAAAGCTGTCTTTTAACCAATCACCTTAGGTTTTGTAGAGATACTTCTTAACAAAATAGTTTGAGTTTCTTTACTTTTCTTAAAAGTGAAGATTATTAATATTTTGCTAGCTAATATTCAAATTGTATTCATACTAATAAAATTTCATGGAAACAGTTTGCTCATATCTCTTCCAACCCTTCTTCTGGACTATGGCAGTTACACATTTATTTGATAAGTAACTACTATTTCACCCATCCTAGCATCTGCTTCTATTTTCTCATTATAGAATGTCCTTCCCTTCAAACAGTTCAACGAGTATCAAGTGTAGCAGATAGGAGCTCTGTCTGTCTTTCTCTTTCTACCTTTCAAATAAATAAATAATTTAGGGAAAAAAAGATGGGACACAGGTCTTGCCATTACAGAGTTTAAAATTTATTTATTTATTATAAAGATTTACTTATCTGAAAGGTATAGTAGGGACTGGCACTGTGGCATAGCAAATAAAGCTGCCGCTTACAGTGCCAGCATCCCATAAGGGAGCTGGTTCGAGTTCTAGCTGCTCCACTTCTGATCCAGCTCTCTGCTATGGCCTGGGAAAGCAGTAGAAGGTGGCCCAAGTCCTTGGGTCCCTGCACCCACATGGGAGACCCAAAAGAAGCCCCTGGCTCCTGTCTTCGGATTGGCACAGCTCCGGCTGTTGCGGCCATTTGGGGGGTAAACTAGCGGATGGAGGGCCTGTCTCTCTGCCTCTGCTTCTCTGTAACTCTGCCTTTCAAATAAATAAATGCTTAAAAACAAACAAACAAAAAAGAAAGTTATAGTTACAGAGAGGGAGGGAGAGATCTTCCATTTGCTGGTTCACTTCCCAATTGGCTGCAGCAGCCAGAGCTGGGCTGATCTGAAGCCAGGAGCCAGGAGGTTCTTGGGGGTCTTCCACGTGAGTGCAGGGCCCCAAGCACTTGAGGCGTTTTCTGCTGCTTTCCCAGGCATATCATCAGGGAGCTGGGTTGGAAGTGGAGCAGCTGGTACTTGAACTGACTCCCTTATGGGCTGCCAGTACTGCAGGTGGCGGCTTTACCCTCTACACCACAGGGCCGGCCCTAGAGTTTACAGTTTAGGGGCGAAGGCAAACACCAAGATACTAATAATTCGAAACTGGAGCAAAATGAGAACTAAGGAAAATTGTAAACATGTAATGGTTGACAGAACAGCAAATTTTACCTAGGATCATTGGGACGTTTTACAGAATATTTGAGTGAGTATTTAAGAACAAGTAGGATTTTGGTTGGTAGCCATACAGAAAGGGCATCTCAGGTCAAAGAATTGTAATAAGCCAAAAATTATGTATAAGCATTCAGACAAAAAAATTCTTATTCAGTGCCTACTATGTGCTACATATTGTTCTGGGAGCTCTAAATCTATGTGTGTCTCTCTGAGAAGAGCTATGCAGAAAAATAGGGAAAGGGGGTGGTAAATTGACATAAAGTGAATGAGTGTGTGTGTTATTTTCTAGAGGGATCTAGGAGAGGTGTGTTTGATAAGGTGACGTTTGAGCAGAGAGATCTGAAAAAAAAAAAAACGGAAGGAGGGAGTCATGTTAATTGGGGGCAGAAGGAATAGGAAGTGAATAATGGAATAATAGATGAGCCTGGAAAGATAGTTTGTGGCTAGGTTGATTTTGGAGGCCTCTGTATTTTTTTCAGTAGAAAAAGCAAGTAATTTATAGAGTTTTGAGAAGCAAGTGACATCATAAACTTACTGAGTGCTTTCCTGACTGCCAGGCACCGAACCAAGGTCTTGGCATGCATTGTACTATATTTTGCATTATGCCATATAACTGTACACCATATCCTACATTATTTCATGCTCTCTACTGTAATATATATTTTATCTTGTGCACTGTAGTCCTCACAGCAACTCTATGAGGAGGTACTAAAATAGTTTCATTTTATAGATGAGGAAAGTGAGGTCAAAGTAGTTAAGCTATTATGCCAGCAAGAGAATGCTTGCAGTAATCTTCCTGCACCTACTCACCTAAAACAGGTTAAGTGCTTTCAGTAAAAACAGTGTGCATGATAGGCAAATGCAGTTTCCTGACAAGTCTCTTTTCTAATACATTTCTCCTCTTCACTCCATCCTGTATTGAAATTCTGGATTCACCAGATTCCAAATCACCCTACTAGTGCAGCCAAAACCCAAACCTTGGATTTCAATTTAGGACATTAATTCTGCTTGTGATCTGAATGATGGGATTAAACGTATGAGAGCTCAGAGCAAGAAGACCAATTTAGCTGGAACATAATTATTAATTCTAACTGAGGTATAGGTCTGTATTCAGTTACAGAAGGTGATTTTATTATGTCTACTTTACAGATAGGGAAATGAGGCTTAAAGAGATTGTTAGATTGTTACAGATGACACAACGGAGCTTTAGAATGATTTCTTTTCTTTCTTTCTTTTCTTTTTCTTTTTTTTTTTTTTTTTGACAGGCAGAGTGGACAGTGAGAGAGAGAGACAGAGAAAGATCTTCCTTTGCCGTTGGTTCACCCTCCAATGGCCGCCGCGGCCGGCGCGCTGCGGCCAGCGCACCGCGCTGATCCGATGGCAGGAGCCAGGTACTTCTCCTGGTCTCCCATGGGGTGCAGGGCCCAAGCACTTGGGCCATCCTCCACTGCACTCCTGGGCCACAGCAGAGAGCTGGCCTGGAAGAGGGGCAACCGGGACAGAATCTGGCACCCCGACCGGGACTAGAACCCGGTGTGCCGGCGCCACAAGGCGGAGGATTAGGCTAGTGAGCCGAGGCGCAGGCCTAGAATGATTTCATCAAGTCTCTCCAGTGTTCCTGTTTGGATTATAGCAGATAAGGAGAACTGATTGTTTTTTTTTGGAACTTAGAAATGGGTTGCTGCTATAACACATACCTAAAAATGTGGAAGTGGCTTTGAAATTGGATAATGAATGGATGGCTGGAAAAATATTGAGGTGCAAGGCAGAAAAAAGCCTAGCTTGTCTTGAACAGTCTGTTGGCAGAAGTACAGACTTTACAGACGGTACTGTTGAGAGCTCAGAAGGAAATGAGGAGCATGGTAAGCAAAGCTGAAGTTAAAGGTATGTAAATTATCATAAACAGAATGCTGGTGGAAGGATGAAGTGCTGCCAGTGAAGGAGCAGAAGGAGTGAACGTATTATCAGAAACTGAAGGTGAAGCAGTTTTGTTCCACCATGAAGAAAGCTTAGCTGAATTGTGTCCTGTCGTTATGTGGAAGACAGAACTAGTAAGGATGAATTTAGATGTTTAGCTGAAGAGATTTCCAAGCAAAGTGTTGGAGGCATGACCTGGTTTCTTCTTGCTGCTTATAGTGAAATGTGAGAAGACAGAGATAAATCGAGGGAATATCTGTTAAGAAAAAGGGAAATGGGACTTGATGATTTGGGAAATTCTCGGTCTATCAAGAATGCAAAAGATGCTACAATTTAGAGGCTCACGACCAAGAAAGTGGCTCTAGAGAGAAAGCCAAGGACGTTGCCTGTACAGATTTCTGGGAGTGCTGAAGAGAATAGGTACATGATTCATGGACCCTCTCAGCCATCTCAGTAGGAGTCAGGAAGAGAAATGAGATTATCCACAGAAGACTTGTGTGTAATGGAGTGGACCTCTGTGACATGCAGGGAGACTCTCAGGTTTTTAGGAATGTCTTACCAGCAGAAACACCAGGTTGGACAAAGGAACGTAGAGAGGCCAAAATGAAACAAGGATGCTGGCCCCCAAAACTCTACAGGCAGGAAACAGAATGATAAAACTGTGCAGCTGCAGACATATGATATCATTCATGGAAAAGGAAGGATGACTCAGAGGGCAAAGCCTCAGGACAGCAAGGCATAGTCTGAAACCACAAAGGATTATTGCCAGGCCTTAAAATCTAATGGCATTTGCCCTGCTGTATTTCAGAGTTTTTTGGGGACTGACGAGAAGAGAGAAAGATATATACTTTATTTGTTGGTTTACTCCTTAAATACAGCCAAAGGTTGAGGCTAGGCTAGGCTGGAACCAGGAGCCCAGTCAAAGGTCTCCTACATGAGAAGCAGGGACCCAAGTACTTGAGCTATCACCTGTTACCTTCTTGGGTGTGCATTAACAGGAAGCTAGAATTAGGAACATTGCCAGAACTTAACCCCAGACAATCTGATATGAGCATCTCAGCTGGTATCCCAGTTCCCAGGTTGAATGCCCAGACACTGTTCAGTCTCTCTATGCCTAGCTTATTTCATTTAACATAATGTCCTCCAGTTCCACCTATGTCACCACAAATGATAGAATTTTGTCCTTTTGAACGGCTGAATGATATTCTATCATGTGTATCATATTTTGAGAACACATTTATCTGCTGGTGAACATCTCATTTGATTCAGTGTTTTGGTTGTTGTAAGGAGGCAATAAACATATGAGTGCAAGTATCTTTTTGATGTAACAATCTCATTTCCCTTGCATAGACACCCAGTCCTGGGAGTGCTGGATCGTATGGTAGATCTATTTTCAGTTTACATTTTTTGATGGACAGGTAATGTTTATACATTTTATGGGCTCTTTTGCAATATTTCAACATAGGTATTTGATCAAGAACTGATTGAATCAGGCAATTAGCACTCCTGTTTCTTTTTTGTGTTTTGAGCCTACTACATCTTCTTTGCCAGTTCGTTATACAGCATATAATGCATTATTTGAATTCTATGTGCTGTAGAGTGATAGAATTTTTAGTTCTATCTGTGTTTTGGCACTCACTATCCAAACTATGTCCCCTCCTCACACCGTTCCAGCTTCAAGTAATCACTATTTTAAGTTCAGATTGACTTTTTAAAAACTTCCATGAGTGAGATTATACAGCATCTGTCTTTTCATGTCTTCCGTGAATGGGGGAGGGCAGGTTACTCTTTGATAATCTGATATCATTTCCTTTGGAAATGTACCCAGAAGTG